GTGTGTGTCTCTGTCATTCTCACAAACACACACTGCCCTTCCCTCATCTCCTGACCCAACCCATACGTGGGGGTTGTTGTTACTACTTGTACTGCTTGCAAAGTGGGTTATTTTTAGTGTTTGACTGGTCTGTGCATTTCGTAACTTTCATTTCTCTCTTACGCTTAAATGTAATTCTTTGAGTAGTGAGTTCTAAAATGCCGAACCTGTCGTGACTGGGGTCATTATCCCTGCGGTAATTGTGCTCCCGGAAGTGGCTGCATGTCCCTGCAGTCCCTGAGAAAGGCAGAGCAGGGGGTCTCCACATGCTGTCCTTGCCTGCAGACACTGCTCCTGCAACTCCCATTGATCAATAACAGGAAACCATGGCCAATAGAAGCTGTGGGCTTGGTGCCTGTAGATGAGGGGCAGTGCATGGTGCCATGGAGCCACTGCTGTATGTGCTCCACTGCTCCACCACCTGGAAGCAGTCTCAGTTAAACCGTACCCAGGCAGAGCCTGCTTCCTGAACCCCTCTCCCAGCCCTGAACCTCCTCCTGCACCCAACCTCCTGCGCCACACGAGTCCCTCTACCCCCAAACTCCTTCCCAGAGCCTGCACCCTGAAACCCCTTCTGTACCTCAATCCCCTACCAGAGCCTGGTGAAAGCGAATGTGGTTCGGGGAAGAAGAGGGATGGAGTGAGCAGGGTGAGACCTCAGAGAACGGGTGGAGCAGGGGCAGGGCCTCAAAGAAGGGGCAGGAAGGAAGTGGAGCAAAGGTATTTGGGTTTGAGGTAGATCTCACATTGCACTTAAAACTGAAAAAGTGATCTTGTGGTTAAAAAGGCTGGAGACCTCTGTAGTAGAGCATGGCTACGTCTACACTGGCCCCTTTTCCGGAAGGGGCATGTAAATTTCACCTATCGTAGTAGGGAAATCCGCGGGGGATTTAAATATCCCCCGCGGCATTTAAATAAAAATGTCCGCCGCTTTTTTCCGGCTTTTAAAAAAGCCGGAAAAGAGCGTCTACACTGGCCCCGATCCTCCGGAAAAAGTGAAGTAGGAATACTTTGAAGTAGGAATAAGACCCTCCAGAAAAGGGCACTTTTTCCGGAGGATCGGGGCCAGTGTAGACGCTCTTTTCCGGCTTTTTTAAAAGCCGGAAAAAAGCGGCGGACATTTTTATTTAAATGCCGCGGGGGATATTTAAATCCCCAGCGGATTTTCCTACTACGATAGGTGAAATTTACATGCCCCTTCCGGAAAAGGGGCCAGTGTAGACGAGCCCCATCTGTCTGGGAGTCAGAAGATCTAGTTCTTCGAGTGCTTGCTCCTATCTACTGAGATGTGCATGTGCCGCATGCATGGCTATTGGAAAATGTTTACTTTAGCTGCTACCCATTGGGCCGACTGTAGAGTCTCCTAGAGTGGCATCGGTGCAATGCCCGAATATGACCCTGCCAACCCCACAGCCCCTCAGTACCTTCTTAGAGCCAGAGGCTCTAGCAGCCGTCACTGGCACTCTCTTGCTTTGCTCAGGTCCTGTCTCCCTAGCACTTACAGCTCTTCGATGTAAATAGTTAGGGTAGCAGTTGTTACGTTAGTGATAGAGTTAGCAGCACGGGGTAAAGAGGAGTTCCCCTTCCTGCCCATGTGCCTTTCAGGGCTGGAGTATGCCAAAGTCCTAGGGCTTCAAACCCTGCACGTCTTGCCTTGAATCTATGCCTACAAATGAGCCCCACCTTGTGTCTCCAGTGCCTCGGGGAAAGCCACAAGACTGACAAGTGCAAGGTCTCCAAACCACAAAGGAGAAAGGAGCAGGACTTTCGCTTGCAGAAGTTTCTCATGGAATCCGCTCTGTGACTTCAGATGCAAGATCTGACAATGAGTGCTTCAGCACAGCGCCACCTCCTTTGGTTCCAGGACATGCACTGAAAGGGGGGGGAGGGAACCTCTTGGTACCATTGCTCCTCTTCAGAGTCCATCCGGGCTGCTCTCACTCCTCAGTGTGCCCTTCCAAGGCAGCCACGTTCTCAGCATTGGCGCACCCAGCACCACTGGCTCCCTCTGCACCTCCAGCATCAGTGGCCCCTGAAGGCTCCTGAACTTGAGTCACCGATCTGCCATGCTCTCCCTGCGCACAGAGTCCCATCATCTCAGACTCTCCAACAGGTGAACCTTTGGTGACAGACCTCTCCTTCACACCAGACATCTTCAAGGCCTCAAGATGATGTAGTCCACTTTGAGGGACAAGGCCTCCACTTCCTGCCAGCCCTCATGGGGGAAACTGGCCATGATGGGCCCTCCACTTCCAGCCCTGATGTCACCCCTCTTGGAGTCCCAGTGTGGTCATCGCAAGTTTTGTTCGCAGCGTCAGTCATACTCATCTCTGGCAGTCCCCTCGGAGCCATTCCCACTCAAGGGCTTCTGCAGAGAGCAGACCATGGTCAGCCTTGAAGTCTTTGCACCTCGCAGCACCAGGGGTCTTGACTCCGCTTGAGTTCTGCCTCATCTGGCCGTTGCGGATGCCCCCCCATCTCCTTCTCCAGTGCAGAGTGGGTCTTCTCAGCATCGCATCAGGGTCCAACACCGTCCTTTAGGGGGTTAGTCTCTTTGGTGCATGTATCTTCATCTTGGCACCAGCCTTTCTAGCCCTTGTCACATTCTCCACCCCGGTCCCACTCTCCGCACTGATCCCGCTCTTACTGGTCCTGCTCTCTGCACCCTTATGTTGGCCCCTCCATATATTGTTTTCCATAAGGACAAGGTTCAGGTTCACCCTCATCTGGCTTTTCTCCCCAAAGTGGTCTCTGCCTTCCACACAGGCCAGGTCATTTGCCTCCTGGTTTCCTATCCCAAACCTCACCAAACCCCATGGGAGCAACAACTGTTTGCCCTGGACGTCAGGCAAGCTCTCGCGTGCTACACTGAGAGGACCAAGTCCTTTCTGGAACTCCTCATGGCTATTTGTGGTTGTGGCAGACTGGAGAAGGGGCTGCTCATTTTGTCACAGCATATCTACTCCTGGACCCCTGCGCACTCCACACAGGGGCAGGTCACCATGGCTGCCTTTCTGGCTCATATTCCTCTTTGGAATATGCGTGGTCCTCAACGTGGTCCTCAACCCTTCTTGCTGCGTCTCACTACACTATTGTGCAGCAGGCCTCATGCGGCCTTTGGGGCTACAGTACTAGAGTCAGCTACACATTGACTCCAACCCCTCCTCCTGGATAAGGTTTGTGAATCACCTCAATTGGAATACATAGGAGCAAGAACCCGAAGAAGGAAAACGGTCACTCACCTTTGGAACTGTTGTTCTTCTAGATGTGTTGCTCATGTCTATTCCATACCCCCCTCCCTCCCCTCTGTCAGAGTAGCTGGCAAGAAGGAACTAAGGGGCTGTTGGGTTCCCAAGGTCATATATAGGGTGTCGAATTGGCGCCACTGGAGGGGGCTCCACAGCCAACCCACAGGTAACAGCTAGGATAACAGCTTTCCAGCAGCCGTGCATGCAGCGCGTGCGCACCTCAACTGAAACATCTCAAAGAGCAACAGGGGAGTAACCATTCGGGTTATTTTTTTTCCTGTTTCTGGCTCTGCCAATGACTCTGGGACAGCAGGGAGGTCATGTAACTTTTCCAAGTCTCAATGTAACCATATGCAAAGGGGAGTGAGAACCTTCCTCTCAGAGACTGTCAAGGTCTGTAAAGCACTTTAAGATCCTTGCATGGAAACTAAAGGTTGGGCCTCCCTTGTCTGGCACCCTCAGGACCGGACCTATCCCAAAGGAGGAAATTTGCCAGATATGGACAGTCCCCTGCCACCGGCCTCCCAGGATGCTCCTCTTCCCTGTGGCTGGCTCCACTCCGGCCCCACTGCCACTGGGCTCCAGCCTGCAGGGCCTGGACTTGTGCTCCAGCGCGGGGCAGGGTCTCCCCGGGGACGGACCTCCCTAGCTGCCATGGCCCCACTTCTCCCCCACCCAACTGGGGATCCTGAGGATGGCACTTGCCAGCTGCCCCCCTTCTGCTGTGCCCCGTGGGATCCCCAGGGACAGGGCTTGTTGCCTGACCTGTTTTTGCTGCTGGCTGCCCTGCTGCTGCCGCCCCGTTCCCACCTAGTTTGCACTCCCAGGCTCTGGGGCTCTCTGATCGAGCAACATCCGTGCTCCTGCCAGACCATGGATGTTGCTGGACCAGAGAGTCCTGGATTTCAGAGGTTCAATCTGTATTACATGCTTACATCTCAATTACAACACAGGTCATTAGGCATTCCACAGATCCAGTCCATTCACCTAACCATTGTATAACTGCTGTGCAAGGGACAGTATGTAGTAACCCCATGAAAGCTTTGGTTTCAAAACTGAATCCATGTTTAGGCAAGAGGAGGAGGAGAATGCAGCTGCTAATATACAGAAATTGATTAGACTGGAGCTCTTCCTGTGCTGATTAAAATTTCTGTTACTCTCAGAGCTTTGAAACAGATTCCCTCCTTCCTCTCTCTAATTTCAAAGTGTCTAGATGACCTCTTTCTGATGTTGCTGTAAAGCAAGTATTGGATTTATGAGTATCAATGTGGAGATTTTCCAGATGTCATCCTCATATCACATTAGATATCTAATATCAAGGAACAGTCCAGATATATCCAGTCTCTAAAAATTATGTAAATAGCATCCCAAAGAGACTAAACCATGACTCTAAAACCCTTGTTATTCATTTACCGCACCATGAGACCTCAAAAACATAACTAAAATGCTACAGAATGAATGTCATCTAACACATGAATTGTAATTAAAACCATTTTTTTTAACGTCAGCGTTCTAATCTTTCTTTGGGTGGTTTAATCATCTAAGCAACAGCTTCTGAAATACCTGGTTCCCCATTAGCCCCTGGTGTTTGTCAGTGCTGATTACTGGGACTCTCCTCTGTTTAGAGTGATCAAGGGTAACCCTTGCAGCAAGTGTACAAGAACCTAGGAAGCGCTTTAGTACACCTCTGATATAGTAAATTCTGTTTCTTACTCTCTCCCTCAGCACGCTGGAGCACAGACAGGCTCACACTTGCTGTATCCAACTCCGTCTGGTCTGCCTTGAAGCTGAAGGTTTCATTATAGACTGGATTGGGAGATCCCACAACAGCTGCTGTCTTTTTACATTTAATGAATTTATTGTGGTTCATTAGGGACACTTTGATATACACACCTGAGGTGGAAAAAAAATCAAAGGAAAGAAAACAACATGTCAGGGGCTTTGAGAGAAAAGGATAAAGATAATTCACAACAATTTCATGACTTCAGAAACTGTATTTAAAACAAATTAGTCATAAAGCTAATTAAATGAAAGCTTAATGACACATGCAGAGAGCCAACAATATGCAATGACATTATCAAGACAGCACACAAGCTATTTAGACCCCCCTTCAGGAAGGCAGCATCCCTGTTCAAGGCAGCACTTAAGCAGGTAGTTAAATCTCATTTACTTTTTATCTTCTCTGAGTGGATAGGTAAATTTGCAGAAAATATTAGCAGTAGGGGAAATAAGAGGGGCGGAGTTGCTGTTTAAAATGGGCTCTTTGGTTTATTATTTCTTCTAAGAGACCTTACAAAGATGGGTGGGGCGGGGGAAGAACAGGAAAGGGTTGTCCCTTGCTTCCTGTCCTGATTGACCCTGCTCCTCTGTGGTGTTCAGCCAACATTTGAAGGTGATAAGAGCCAAAGCAGCCTCAAAATAACTCAATTTTCCCTCTTTATCTTCACTTATCCCTTGCAAGTACAAAAGTGGCTTGATCTCAGGGTGCGTCTACATAACACCGTAACCCGAAATAAGATACGCAGTTTGAGCTACACAAATTGCATATCTTATTTTGAAGTTATTTCGAAATAGCTTATTTCGTCATTTGGCACGGTCTACACAGCGCCAGATTTCAAAATAAACCACTATCCCTAAATGTCCCTTACTCCTCGTGGAGTGAGGATTACAGGGACGTCAGGATAGCCAGCCTGAAATAATGAGCTTCCTGTGAAGATGCAGGATCCTCCAGTATCCCGTAAAAGCGCTGCAGTGTGGATGTACTCCTAGTGGCCAAGCACTAACGTTTCCTTGAGGGAGAAATAAGAGCTCTGCTAGTGTAACTGTCTGTTACTCTCTGCCATTCATTTTAAGGCAGAAGAAATCCAGGTGCACCATCATTTCCATTTTCTATTGCACAACTAATTACAAATATGCTGAGACTGGTTCTGTACAGTCTGATCCACTGGGGAATGGTATAGGGAGCCCAATTGTCTTCAGAATGGAATTGCAACTAGCAAGGGATGGGAACAATAACAAGAAAGGTTTCTACAGGCATGTTAGCAATAAGAGGGTGATCAGGGAGGATATGAGGCCCTTACTGGATGAGGGAGGTAACCTAGTGACAGATGATGTGGGAAAAGCTGAAGTACTCAATGCTTTCTTTGCCTCTGTCTTCACGGACAAGGTCAGCTCCCAGATAAATGCACTAGGCAACACAGTATGGGAAGGAAGTGGACAGCCCTTGGTGGGGAAAGAACAAGTTAGGAACTATTTAGAAAAGCTAAACATACACAAATCCATGGGCCTGGATTTCATGCATCCAAAGGTACTGAGGAAGTTGGCAAGTGTCATTGCAGAGCCTTTGGCCATTGTCTTTGAAAACTTGTGGAGATCCCGGAAGACTGGAAAAAGGCAAATATTGTGCCCATCTTCAAAAAAGGGAAGATGGACAATCCAGGAACTACAGACCTGTCAGCCTTACCTCAGTTCCTGGAAAAATCATGCAGGGGATCCTCAAGGAATCCATTTTGAAGCACTTGGAAGAGGGAAAAGTGATCAGGAACAATCAACGTGAATTCACGAAAGGCAAGTCATGCCTGACCAATCTGATTAGCTTCTACGATGAGATAACTGGCTCTGTAGATATGGGAAAGTCAGTGGATGTGATATATCTTGACTTCAGCAAAGCTTTTGATACAGTCTCCCACAATATTCTTGCCAGCAAGTTAAGGGTATATGGATTGGATAAATGGACTGTAAGATGGATAGAAAGCTGGCTAGACTGTCGGGCCCAACGGGGAGTGATCAACGGCTCGATGTCAGGTTGGCGGTCGGTTTCTAGTGGAGTGCCCCAAGAATCTGTTCTTGGACCAGTTTTGTTCAACATCTTTATTAATAACCTGAGTGAGGGGATGGATTGCACCCTCAGCAAGTTTGCAGATGACACTAAACTGGGAGGAGAAGATGTAGATACGCTGGAGGGCAGGGACAGGGTCCAGAGTGACCTGGACAGATTAGAGGATTTGGCCAAAAGAAATCTGATGAGGTTCAACAAGGTCAAGTGTAGAGTCCTTCACTAGGGACAGAAGAATCCCAAGCATTGTCACAGGCTGGGGACAGAATGGCTAAGTAGCTGTTCTGCAGAAAAGGACCTGGAGATTACAGTGGATGAGAAGCTGGATATGAGTCAATAGTGTGCCCTTGTAGCCAAGAAGGCTAATGGCATATTGGGGTGCATTGGAGGAGCATTGCTAGCAGATCCAGAGAAGTGATTATTCCCCTTTATTCGGCTCTGGTGAGGCCACATCTGGAGTATTGTGTCCAGTTCTGGGCCCCCCCACTATAGAAAGGATGTGGACTCATTGGAGAGGGTCCAGCGGAGGGCGACCAAAATGATTAGGGGGCTGGAGCACATGACCTATGAGGAGAGACTGAAGGATTTGGGTTTGTTTAGCCTGCCGAAGAGTGAGGGGGGATTTGATAGCAACTTTCAACTTCCTGAAGGGAGGTTCCAAAGAGGCTGGAGAAAGGCTCTTTGCAGTAGTGATGGATGGCAGAACAAGGAGCAGTGGTCTCAAGTTACAGTGGGAGAGGTCTAGCTTGGATATTAGGAAAAACTATTTTCACTAGGAAGGTGGTGAAGCACTGGAATGGGTTCCCTAGGGAGGTGGGGGAATCTCCATCCTAGAGGTTTTTAAGTCTTGGCTTGACAAAGCCCTGGCTGGGGTGATTTAGGTGGGGTTGGTCCTGCCTTAGGCAGGGGGCTGGACTTGATGACCTCCTCAGGTCTCTTCCAGCTCTATGATTCTATGACATTATCCCACCGTCAGAAAGTTTTTGAAGATAAACTCTAGATATTGCTATTTTGAGTCAGACCCAGGGCCCATGTAGAGTCAGTCTCTGAGGAAGGGGACAAGAACCCATCAATAGGCAAATGTAAAATAATCTACCTCCACCCATCCCTAGGCATATAGCTCCTGGCCTCTGGTTAGGGACTGACAAATCCTGAAGCACAAGGTGTAATACCCCTTTCAAAATGTTGTTATAATTATGATAATGGGATATGCGGTGTAATAATTAGATATTCTTGATTTCCATATAAATTTCCAGTCTTTTTTTAATTTGCTAAATTGGTTTTGACTGATGCAATTTGTCAGCTCCTTTTACTTCATATCTTGGTTTTGCATGAATAATGTTCTTTGATCAGAAAAACAATTGTTTTGGTATCATTCTGGATTAACCTTCTAGCTAGAGAACCAGCTTATCAAGATACATCTGGAAGTTTAACAGATGATATTTTAGGTGCTCTGTGATGCACTGGAGTTAGCGCGTGAGATTTTCACCTACGGGGACCTGAGTTCAACTCAGCTCGCAGGTGTGTATTGATCCTTCCCCCCCTTCAGATCAATGGAAATCAATAGGTCCAAACAGGAGTTTGTAGATTGACATTTTAATCCTGCTTTATCCACATCACAGACTTTAGTCAGCAGTTATGTTAGATAGCAGTTCTGCTGAAGAGAAACCACGGATTTATCAGAGTAGGTGGCTTTTCACACAACTGAGGTATTTCAATTGTGGTGTATCTTAAAGAAGAAGTTAGCCCATAAACTTCTTGCTCTAAGCCTGGCTCTAGCCACTCATTTTCACAAACACTAAAGTCACTCACGTTTTAACCAACCAGTAAGCAGTCCCTTATTAATCTGTACCTTGTTAGAGAATACAGATCTCTGTTTCCCAAGATCAGCTTGTGTTCTGGTTCACAGTTGAGGATCCTAGGGCTGTAGTTATAATCAAATTAACAACTAACAGTTTGGAAGCAGAGAGCCTATAAACCACAAAGGTAAAAGGCTATTCTATTCATTCAAGTTCTTCTCTTTAGGGTTTGTCAGATAATCTGCAGTCACTAAGTCAGCTGCAGCAGTGGGCATTATCAAAGGCAATAAGGGCTGTTTGTTGAAACATCTTTAAATTTTAGCCATTTATTGTGGGGAATTGCTTATTGACAGCATTTCCTTCCTTCCTTCCTCCTGGAGAGCTTCCATGGCTCCTGTTAATGCTGTTTACTATAATAATATGCAAGTGCTTGGCATCAAATTAACAGCAGCTCAATGGCCAGTGCTGAAAGAAGCAAATTTAATGTGACTCTCTTGCTGCTACAAAACTGAAAACCCTACACTTGTGGGCCAGCGTGGAGGTGAGCCGAGAGAAGTGATTGCACCCCAGTCCCTTACTGCAAGCCCCCTTCTGCACCCAAACTCCATCCCAGACCCTGCACATCCTCCATTAATAGCATGGAAGAGTGCAGCCCTCAATCACTTTCCATATTCTTGGAGTGGCCCCCATCCAGAATTATTGCCCACCCCTGGTATGGGCTAACTGCGCACAGCAGAAGTGGGAGGCCTCTGAGATCTTCATTCCGAGTCCGGGTCTCATAGCGAGGAGACTGGGGGGCTGCTGCTCTGCTTAGTGTTCTCCTAACCACAGCAACAGCGTGAGAGCCTCTTGTCCCCAGGGCAGACAGGCTGTGCCCCAGGATGGGTGGTGGGACTGGCTGGGGGGGCTGCTGCTGAAGCAGGAAGGGCCCAAGAATGTAGCTTCTCCCCCAGCCCCTCCAGCTGAGGTGAGTGTCCCACTCCTTGCCCTTTGCCGCCGCCTGGGTATATAGGAGTTGCTGCAGGAGGGGACACTGCTGCTCTAGTGGGTGCAGTTGCTCAGACACCGCTTGCTGACAGCCTCTGTCCATCTCCCCTCCCCACACACACTCTTTTGAGGGGTGATTCCCCCTTCTCTGCTGTCACCACAGCCACACATTCTAGTCCCATGGAAAGTGAGGGGACCATCCCTTTAGGTGGTGTCTGACTATTGCAGTTTGATTGGGGGGGGTGGGGGAAGCTGCTACGCCTCTCAAAGGCACCGCTCTGTCGGTTCCCTCAGGCCTTGCCCTCGGAGGAAACCTGCACAACAGCTGCAACAAAATGAGCTTGGGAACTTAAATTCAGACCTTTGCTAGAGGCTACAAAATAGGAACTGGACAGACACACTGGATTTCTGACTCATTACAACAAGCTGTGACCCCCTTAACTCGCCCATGACTGGGAGTTGGTAGGGGGCCACTGCACTTTACGTGGCCCTTTGAAAAATGTGTTGACTATTTTTGCTAAGCCCCTCATCTGTTCCATCTTAAATGTGACAGTGACTCCACGTATTTCCCAGACCTGAAGAAGAGCTTTGGGTAGATTGAAAACGTCTCTCTCCCCAGCTCAGATTGGTCCAATACAATTTCTACAAGACAGTACCTCCGCCAGCTTGTCTCTGTGAGGTAACTGCAAGTCCTACTTCCCCTTCTCACCAAGGCTTGTAGACGCCCCTCAGTCACCAGCAGGGGGGCAGACATGGCTCTCCAGAGCAAAACTGGGGTAAAGCTGGAAAACAGCTTCTGAATGTGGCTCCCAATACAGGCAGTTTTCCAATTAACAACTGGAACCAATGAATCAGGCCCGTACGCAGGGTGAGTGCAAAGGGTGTGAGCACACCCCACTAAGGTCCCCCAGTAAGCGTGCTCCAGCCAGCCTCCCTCTCTCCCCGACGCTCCGGCTGGCTGGGGGAAGGCTGGGACTGATTTCCTCCAGGAGTAGGGGAAATCAGCCCCAGCCTTCCCCCAGCCAGCTAAAGCATGGGGGAGGGAGGCTCGGACAGTGCGCGGCTCCTGCCTTCCCCCGACCAGCTTACTTGTGGTATTTTGGGGAGTGCACTCACACCCTTGTGGCCCACATTTACCAAAAAAAAGGCACCCCCCACAGAAATTTCTGCATACAGGCCTGCTGAAGTTTGGTCATTCAGTGGAGTCACTTAACATAAGCACTAGGAACGTGGGCAAGGAGGCAGCAAACCAGAACAGGAATCCAGGGGTAGTAACAGAGGAAAGTAATACTCACTAGCAGCATGCCTCTCATCCTGGAATTTTAATCCCTTCGCTCTCAGCACCACTACAGTGAGGCGACCCAGGTAGTCATTGTAGCTGAGAGAAAACTGGATATCACCGTACTCTGAAGGAGGCTTTGAAAGCAGAAGGTCGCTATTAAAATGCATCAAAGACGCTTTCTTTTCAACTAGATTTATTGTAAAACAGTGATTTCTGCCACTTTAGGAATGGGAGATGAATTCTAGAATCTCTGCATTTCATTGCTAGAGGTATTTGAAAGGAACAATCAGATGCCAGCATAACTGGCTACCTAGCAGTTACTTCTCTGTGGTTCTTTGCCAGAGAGTCTGGCTTTATCCCTCACAGTAAACCTTGATTGCCCTTATTCACATAAATATTTACATCAATGAACAGGATATGACCCTTCTTTTTGGGCCCCAGTCTCAGCTGTGCCTCCCATCCACTGAATTCTATCAAGGTGTCATTTCCCCCAGCACCAGCAGTACTACTGTAACACTGCACTGTAACAGTATGAAGTATCGTCACTAATCAAGTTTCTGGCTCTTCTGAGTTTTCCTAAATGGTGGCTAAGCCATCTTGAGGTGAAGTGTAAGCAGTAACCACTGAGTCATAGTAACACACATGAAAAAAGTTTCCCCTCCTATCCCTCCTCCTTTGGGATACAGCATCATTCATCCTGCTTTGTGTTAGGCCTTTCTTGTGTGCGTAATAATCCATATCAGAAACAGAAACTTTTCCATTTGGCTTTTACACCATCACATCTTAGCCAGTGGGGAGATAGCGGCCATTTCATTCCAGTGCTATGGCGGGAAGCATTACAAGTGTTACGGTGCTGCTAGTGATCCCCTATGGTGTGTGTTAGGACCCCTGGTTTACTCTACTCCCCTCGTTTTTTATAAAAACGATCCTATATTTGATCTTATCTTCTGCCCCCTCTGTGCCCTTATGCAGGTACTCTATGTGCTGTAGAACTCCCTCGTCTGCCCCCCTCCCACCCATAGGACCATTGCAATGGCAAAGCTCAAAACTACAAAACAGAGTGTTTTTCGCCTAATGAATATACCCTTTACTTAGATGCCTACCTCCAGGTTTTCTGCTTCCAAATCTCTCCAAATTACTAGCTTGTTGTCACCAGTTAATGTCTCATTTTTCAAAGGAAAAATCACTTGGCCTAGGAGCTGGTGCTTTTTCTGTTTATCAACATAGTAGACCAAGAACTTCAGAGTCCGTTGATACACTGTCTTACTAGAAACCTGTACAAAAATAGACAGAACGCTTCAATATAACAATGTAATTTATTCCATAGCTCTGCAACCTATCCTTACCACACGTGATGCATGTCTGAAATATTTTAAGGCATGTTGTTTCTGTAATTCAAATATATATCCTATTTCTTATTAGCAAAATAGCAATAATAATCTGCCTCCCAATACAGGCAGTCCCCGAGTTACGCGGATCTGACTTATGTCGGATCCGTACTTACGAACGGGGCTTTTCTCGCCCCGGAGGATGCGGGCGGCGGGACCGCCCAGACGTGCCACGGTCCCACTGCCCGCGTCCTCCGGGGCGAGAAAAGCTGCTCCGCGTCTCCCTGGTCTGCTGGGGCGGGGGACGGGGGGACAGCAGCTGAATCTGGACGCCTGGGACAGAGCAGCTGGGGCGCTGCTGGGTAGGTCCCCGCAGTGCCGCACCTCAGCGCTGTGGGGATCAACCCGGCAGCACCCCAGCTGCTCTACCCCAGGTATCCCCAAGTCAGCTGCTACTGAAACTGATCAGTGGCTGATTCCAGGAAGCCCAGGGCAGAGAAACTCTGCCTCGGGCTTCCTGTAGTCAGCCGCTGGTCAGTTTCAGCAGCAGCTGAATCTGGACGCCAGTTCTGACTTCAGTACAAATTCGACTTAAGTACAAACCTACAGTCCCTATCTTGTACGTAACCCGGGGACTGCCTGTATCCCCACTGTTTCTTCTGGCTTTTGAGGTTGGATTTTTCTTTGTGTAAATGCACTGAGAACGCTGATCAACATAATACATTATCAGAAATTAAGATGCCATAATCTCTGCTACTTGGAGAAAAATAGTGCAAAACAAATAGTGGAGATGAAATATCAAATAAGATTTGTTTGACTTAGCTTGTAAGCTTGTTGGGATATGGGACCACCTTTTTTGTGGTGTGTGTTTTTTCTTTTTTCACAGTGCCTAACAATGGGACACTGACCCCTAGCTGGCCTTGGCAGTGCAAATAATAATAATTAACTGCCTCATGGCCAGAGAGCATTGTGACAGTGTATGGACAGCCTTTCCTAGCACAGGAGATGACACAGACCACCTGACTGCATAGCCCAGTGATCTTGTTTCCCTGACATCCAGAGTGACACATTACATGTACCATTCCAGTTAAAAGGCAAGTACCTGGAAAATAAAACTTTCATCAAACTGCGGGTTGAGGGTTTTGCGTTTAGTTTTTGACTGGAGGTAACACCTCTCATCAGGCAGCAGATAAATTTTCACAAAGGTACTGCAGGACTCTGTAGGAGGCTGCAGTTTTCTAGCTTTTATCAAGGAGACGAGAAGCCTTTCAGCCTCTTGCTCATATTCCACTGAGAACCAGAGACGGCCCATGTTGCACTCAGGGAAGTCTGTCTCGCTCTGATCTTCAGGGAACTTGTACAGCTCGGGGTTGATAGACCCTACAATATAAGCTCCAGCTTCACAAAATAAAAAACAAAACCAAGCAAGTTAACCTCAAGCCACAGCTGTTTTTCTTCTAGCTATTCTCTAGAGAAACCATGGAAAGCTCTTCCATATTTATAGTCCAACTCTGTGCATAAATCCTGCATTTGAATTCCTTTTCCCTCAAAGGTTCAGAAGAGTTTGTGCACTCCTCTCTTTTCTTCTTAATATAGTTATGGAAGCATCCGTAGCAACTCTGCTTTAGATACCTACTGGGGGAACATAGCAGCCCTTCAGGATGCAGCCCATACCCCCTTCTGCAACTGGCTCGGCCTGCCCCTTCTGGAGAGAAGCACTGACTGACACTAGCCCTGAGCAGCTCTGGTGTTGTCCCTCAATAGAAGATACAAGGGGAGACTTGCTTCGGGTGCTTGTACAGCAGTGTAATGGGCCACAGTCTGACCCAATCTCTGTCTAAAAAGAGTGTGGTGTATGGGACTCTGATCGTAGAACACTGTAGTGCACCTCCACTGTGTGATTATTGTATATAGCTCATCCCTTCCAGTTCAAGCTTCCTTTCCAATAATCTGTCCCACCTGGGCAGTGTCATCATACCCAAGGAGTGAAAAGAACACCGGGGCCCGCACTCAGGAGTCATGTAGGGGTCACTGTCCTCCTGAACCAGCTCTCCATTGGTCAGCTTAATCCAATCTCGCCCATGCAGTTTTGGTGGGATGATGAACGGAACGCTTCTAGTTCTGCTTGGAACAACAAACACACACTTCCAGGTTAGCTAAGAAGCCTGGCATTCAATCAAATCACACATTTAGCCCCATTGTGATTCCATAGCTTTGCAGAAATTGCTTGTACTTGTAGCGGCTTTGGTCCTTGAGCGGCCCTGACAGATAGCACAATACCCTTTGTGTACCCATACACAAATCATAGAAATGTGTTATGTATTTGTATGGCAGTAGTACCTAGAGGTCCCAGTCAGGTATTTGTGGCCTCATTATGGTGAGCACCTTACACAAACTTTTGGTCAGAGCCCCCTCTCCTTCTCTAGAATTAATGCCCCAAAGAAAGAATCAGTTGCATTTTTTGTTGTACAGACTGAGCCAGAGCATATGAGTAAGTCTCTAGCTCTTTAAGTCCCAGACTGAGCCAGAGCATATGAGTAAGTCTCTAGCTCTTTCAGTCCTTCTCAACCAGAGGTATGTGTACTTCTGGGGGACTCAGCTCCTCTAGAGCAGTGTTTCTGAACCTGTGGCTTGCAGCCCTGCAGGTGGTTATGAGATGGCTTATGAGGGGTTGCAAGTGCAGGGTTGGCATTAAGAAGTAGCAAGTAACGCAACTGCCAAGGGCTCCATAACATAGAGTTTCTTCACAAAACTAAGTTACATGCTTCAGCCCTGGACAACAAGGCTCGGGTTTTAGACATGGCTCAAATGAAAACCAGGCTCAGTATCACACAGTACAATACTTACATCCCAGTGGATTTACTTTATAACTGTACGGTAAAAAGGAGAAAGTGAGCCATTTTTTAGTAACAGAGTGCTGGGACAGATCTGTGTGTCTACGTCTGATTAAAGATGTTAATGGCTAGTCGACTATCCAATAAGCATATGCTTATTGGATAGTTGAGTTGACTAGTCACTCAGAGGCAGCAAAAGGGGAGGGAGGTGGGTACTTCAAAGCAGCAGTGCCATACAGAGCCTGGGGTACAGGCTCCGTGCAGTGCTGCCACTTTGAAATGCTGTGACGGCATTTCAAAGGGGCAGTGCCATACAGCTGATCCCAGGCTCCATGTGGTGCTGTTCCTTTGAAATGCCGCCACAACATTTCAAAGCAGCAGCGCCACATGGAGTTGATCCCCGGCGGTGCTGCCCTTTTGAAGCAGTGGCAGTTCAAAAGGGGTAGCACCACACAGCAGATCCTGGGCTTCATGTGGAACTGCCCCTTTGAAATGCTGCCATGGCATTTTAAAGCAGCATCGCCTCATGGAGCCTGGGGTCAGCTGGGGACTCCCTAGCTGACCCCGGGCTCCATGCAGCATTTCTGCAGAACCCAGTGTCAGCTGAGGATTTCCCAGCTGACCCTGGCTCCACATGGCATTTCAAAGTGGCAGCGGCTGCATGGAGCCCAAGGTCATCTGGGGAGTCCCCAGTTGAACCCAGGCTCCCTATGGGCACTTCCACTTTGAAATGTACAAAAGCTCAGACTTCCTGCTGGTCTTGGGCTGCACGCAGAGTTCCAACTTTGAAATGCCCCATTGGGGCCCTTGTACATTTCAAAGGAGAAATGTGGAAATGCCTATCAAATAGTCAAGTAGTCGATGGAAATTAATCAATATTTAACAGCCTTAAGTCTGATTTTGTAAGCAAGTATTTTTAAGTAAGGTGAAACTGGGGATATCAGACAAATCAGACTCCGGAAGGAGATACAGTCTTCGGAAAGCTTGAGAACTGCTGAACAACATTAGCTGTACTTCATTAGCTTGCTGATCACATCTACTCCCCACCCCCATGTCCAAAATTCCAAGTGCTTGGTCCTTACAATGTTTCATTCTTAAGGATTACCAGGAAGGGCCCTGATCCACAGATCAGAATTTGAGAACCAACAAGTTAGCCGTGTTCCATATACATTTGGTTTCCCCATCTTTGGTATTGTTAAATGATATACATTGTATACTTCAGAAATAAAGAATTACAGAACTGAGGTTATACGGGTTGAATCTCTCTAGTCCAGCACTCTCTAGTCTGGCAACATCTGTGGGCCAGCATGATTTTAGTTAGCTGGATGTCCACTTATCATGGGTGTGACCACGTTTCCCAGGGTCCCATAAAGTCTCTTTACAGCCACCAGGCGTAGCTCAGTGTTCCAAACTGTAGTTTAGTTCTAATTTACTCCTAAAAGTCTTCTAAGAGCCCAGCAAGCAATAGAAGTGTTGGTGATGCTGCCACTAAATGTAAGCATGTTTCTTATGCTTTATCTACTGACTAGAATATATACCCAGTGTTGCTCAGGTCCTTAACTCAAATAAGTTTTGTTTTCTTCATTTAAATCATTGCTCTGGGGGTAGGGGTACAGATGAAGGGTTCTGTTTACAGGATGAGAGGGCTACCCGAGCCCCTCTAACCACAGCAGCTTGGAGCCAGTTGCGATGCACCTGCAGGTGCAGCCTTAGAAGGGGTCCATGTCCCCATCTGGAGGACAGATGGACACACAAACAAGCTCTCTGAAATATATAGTAGATAGCTGTCCCTTCCTCTTGGGCCAGCAGGAGACAGGGGAAGAGAGTTATAGCTATCCCAGTCTCCATCTCTGGCCGTTTGCTCCCCCTAATGGTCATTCTACAGTATAACTGTCTCTCCTACAAGAGCCCCCCTTTTTATTTTCTGAGAAACAATCGAATTCCAGGTATACCCCATTGTCCTGGCACAACTAAACCCTGACTTTGCTTTAAGCTATGACAAGAGAGGAAGCTGTATACCAAATTTGGAGCTTCTAGCTCTCTCCGTTTAGGAGGAGTTCTTGCCCCACACACACTCTCTCAGATATGTAATTGATTTTCTTGTGCCAATACAATAAAGTTGTTTAACAACGGTAACACTTTGTTATGAAGAGAGATGATAAGCCTTAAGTAGACATAGGCTATAATAGGATGTATCAGTACAGTCATACATTATTAAACAGCATTGCAAGCATTGTTCCATTTACTGACCTCAGCAAAATAAAAATAAAAAGATGATGGATTCTCCCCACCCCCACTCACTACAATATTGACTTCCCATGGTTCGGCAAATTCTCTAGTTCGGCACTCATCAGGTCCCAAGAGTGTTGGGCTAGAGAAGTTCATCCTGTAGTAACAGTCACTTACCTGAAAGGAATGATCCTACAGCATTTTACCTTTTCTACATGATGGATTCTCCCCCTCCATCATTTTGGGCTCCTCTCATACGTTGTGTCCCATTTTTGAGCTGTTGGCAGGTGGAGAAATAGGTAGCTTGATAAACAGTAGCCCATAAGAAGAAAGAGAGGTTTATTTACCTTATGATTTTTGGTTGAATTATAGAAGATGGCTGGACTAAAGTCTGATCTTGCAGACTGGCAGCATCTGGATGTGTTGGTGTGACTGAATTGGTGAGTTCCTCATAGGAAGGTAGGAGGCACATTTTCTTCCAAAGCAGGTACACAACTATTCCAATAAGGATCAGTAAAAGGATTCCTCCTATCACACCTCCAGCCACAGCAGCTACCTGTGCTGATTACAGGGAAGCATACATCATGGGATTTTCAGTGCAGATAGGGGTTTTGGACAGGGAAATAGACATTTAAGAGAACACTCCTAGGACTAGGAACTTTCAGTTGCTGGCTTTGCTGAAAGAGGATTTGCTTATTTCACTCTCAGTTACACTGGCTGAAACATTGCGGATAGGATTTGATGCTCAAGAGCTTTGTTGGGGGCCATTCTGAGACTATGGATTGAACTACTCCAGAACCTAAGGATCATCACAAACCCTCACCATCTTTCTCTCCAGCTGCATGGCACATTTCTTTGACTCACCTTCTCTAACAAATACAAAGCTACATACGTTTCAGAAAACCTAGCAGAACAAAAGACACCACTCACACACTCCTACTCCTGGTTATATCTCTTAATGCTCTACTGGAAGGTGGTCAGATACTATAGTGATGAGCATGGAATAAGAACCTGAATAGAATATAAGTAAATGCAGATTTCTTGAGAGATTCTGTAATACTCCCATAACAGGAAAAACAGGCTAGACAGTGGAGTGTGAAATACCAGGCAAAACATTACTCCATTACTTAAATTCGTTTCCTTTCCGTCAACGTTCAGTTAAGAGAACATGTCCAAATGAAGAAAAAACCAAAGTTTAAAAATAAAACAAAGAATCTTTTAGAATAAAGGAAGTTTGGAATCAAACAAAACAGAATTAGAGGATACTTATGTTTCCTAATCTGGAAAGATCAACTCAAGCACATCGTCTGAATATTGTATCCTAACCCTGATTTCTTAAGTTAAAATTAAACTCTGGGGCAGCAGTTTTCTAGCCACAACAAAAGAAGATAATTTATCAAAATATCAAGACCAAGAATTGGATGTTGATAATGGACCTGATTCACTGGTACTCCAGCGCTACTTTACACCATCTCTGGTGGAATACCAAAGCCAGATCTCCAACCCCCCGCCTCTTCTTGGATCAAGAACTCCATATGAAATCAGAGTCACCATAGATACTGCTAGGCCACCCCAAGCAGGAGTCTTCGGGGTAAGGGACATGCTATGTACATTCCTAGGGGGGCAGGGATGTATTCCTAACCTGGCTAGTCTGGCTGCTGGACCAGCCCAATGGGGTTGGGGAATTCTGCAATAACCTGTCAGGCTGCTATAACCTGAGCTGGGCACAATAGAGGTAGGTGCAGTGATGGTATAAAACCACCTTCTTCAATGTAGCCTCTTGATCTTCTTACATGCCGGCACAAGAGCCCCCTAAATCTCTTTGCAAGCCTGGTCAACAGGGCCCCTCATGCCTTTCCTTTTACAGCATTCCACGGGCACAAAAAAGGGAGTGGCCACAATTCTGCGAGTCCTTCAGAGTGCTGAAGTGAAAGTACAGGATGCCCGGTGACTTGCTTGCATTTCCTTTTTGTATGCTGCACTCTTTGTAATCAATGCATTCCACCCAGGGCGTTAATCTCTTTGCAAGCCTGGTCAACAGGGCCCCTCATGCCTTTCCTTTTACAGCATTCCACGGGCACAAAAAAGGGAGTGGCCACAATTCTGCGAGTCCTTCAGAGTGCTGAAGTGAAAGTACAGGATGCCCGGTGACTTGCTTGCATTTCCTTTTTGTATGCTGCACTCTTTGTAATCAATGCATTCCACCCAGGGCGTTGTTCCCCTCCGAAGGGTGTATGTCAGGTCCTTCTGCTTTCTCCAACCGCCCCCCCCC